TTTTTTTTTTTTTTTTTTTTTTGAGGCAAAGTCTCGATCTGTCACCCAGGTTGGAGTGCAGTGACGTGATCTCGGCTAAGTACAACCTCTGCCTCCCAGGTTCAAGCCATTTTCCAGCCTCAGCCTCCTAAGTAGCTGGGATTACAGGTACTCACCACCATACCCAGCTAATTTTTGTATTTTTAATAGAGATAGGGTTTCACCATGTTGGCCAGGCTAGTCTCAAACTCCTGAACTCAAGTGATCTGCCTGCCTCAGCCTCTCAAAGCACAGGCGTTACAGGCATGAGCCACCATGCCCAGCCTATTTTATAATTTTTAATTATATCAAATTTATGTGGAGAAAATTTCATACTGAAATCACTTATTTATTTTGGGATTACCCATAGTTTTTTCCTACTATTCTCAGACATCTATCAAACTAACTGTTCTACGGATTCTTATGTTCAGTTTATCTTTTTCTCCATCTTTTCTTTCTTGCCACCTACCGAAGGAAATGTCTCCAAGGTCTTTTTGATTAATAGAAACTAAATGTATAACTCAACATCTAGAAGGGTTTCAAAATAGTAAATACGTCTTCTGGGATGTTTTGTCATTACCCTGCCCAATGTTGTACATGTACATTATAAATAAGAAAGGCCCAACCTTAACAAAAAGTATCACATTCCCTAATTTTCTCTCCTTTAATTGTGTGTAATTTATCCAGGCATATCTTTAGTTCAATAAAGGTTATTTCCCTCTTTTTCATTCATACACAAATAAGTATGGTCAATTATTATTATCCTAACACTAGTTTTTGTGCATACATTCACCCCAAACTCTCATCTTTAGTGTTCTTATGCCACCTGTATGGAATGGTTTGTAATTTTATTTTTTCACAACTCAAACTTGTTCATCATAACTTTAATAATTCATTGTAAGTATTCTATTACACTGTCCTACCTAATATACTATGTCTAAGCACTTACATATTGAAGCATATATTATTATAAACACAGTGCTTGCTTCTAGAAATTTCTCCATTTTGTTACACTAGGGTATTAATTTTGAAAAAACATGCATTAAAGGTTACTTTATCTATAAATTTTACTGAAGACACTACTTAAAAAGGAACACAATGTCTGCTAAGAGATAGAATATTAGACTGATTACCTCAGCTTCAGAAGGCTTCAGTTTTTGAACTTTTTCTTTGACCTTCATCTCAAACACCTGCTCCATCTCCATCTCCATCTTCTTCATTTTAGCTACATGCTCCCTTCTTTCTTCTTCCATTTGTGCCAGAGGGCTCCTGTCATGAATATTAATAAGGGTAATCATTAAATGTCTGTGAATAAAAATTATAATACAGAACTATGAAACAGCTGATGAAAACAAATGAGATGCTATATATGTATGTCATTATTATTTATAACCTAGAACTTCTTTCCATGATATATCATATATAAAACTTATTATGGAAAAAAATCTAAAAATCAAAGATGTTTTCTAAACCTACTGCATATCAAATTTAAGGATGACATACCAAATAAACTGTAGAAGGAAAATGGGGAAAAAATTCCCAAAATACATTCACAGAATAAAACATTAGATGAAAATCATTTAATTTTGTTCTTTAAACAACATTTTAACATGAAAAACAGAAAATAAGTAATGAAGTTAACATATGTAGAATATTTTTACCAAAATTTTTTTACCAAAATTTCAAGTGTTACCATCTCTTCTAAGACAGCTACTAAGAACACAAAAATTATTATTTGTTTTGGTAACTGAACTGATGCTGGAAACAACTACTAGTCAATACTTAGAGCACTATTTAGGCATACAGAATATTTCTAGGTCCCTTATAACTTCAATGCTCTTGAAAATTCCTTCCACTTAACTCAAATATTTCAGTCTTAAGTTTTAAGGACTTTCAGTGATTTAAAACACCCACACATACTTTAGAGATAATCAGGAGCAAATATTTTGTTAATAATTATTTTTTAAATGCCGAAATATAGACATAAGCATAGTTAAATTTAAAAAAAAAAATGTTCACTCTGTTGACGTTAAAGTCCCATGGATTCAAATCTCCTTGAAGAACTGTGTTCAAAATTTTCACACTGATATATATTTACAGGTGGGCTTTGTTAAGGCTAATATACTTTCTCACAGAGACACAAGAGAATGCCAAAGTACCTAGTGCTTTTAGCAAAGGAGCAGAAAATGGGCTCTTTGCTTTGAGAATCTCTGAAAATTATTCAATACCCTAGGACAAATTAAAGAGATAAGTACTTCTTTGACTTTGTTAATAAAGCATGCTTGTTTTGCCTCCATAAAAACAGGCTTTGACCATTGAGGTTTACATGTTAAATGGGTAAATTTTATTGCAATACACTACTTTTTTAAAAAAAAGAATTAACTCACGGCTTAAAAACAAAAACCAGACCTTGGATTTCACCCATAACTTTAAGGCTGGTCATTTCAACCCTGATTTGACATACTCTTATTATGGTGTCTTTTCTCTTTATTTGGCTAAATATTTCTGACCATCACAGCAACTGTCTTTTCTATCAAGGAAGGAGGCAAGAGAGCTAGACAGAAAATGTTAGAAACAAAACAAAAAGGACCGAATATTGGCTACTAGTTTTTCCTAACAAAAAGGAAGAACAAAGATGTGATGTAATGCTATGATTAAGATGATCTGTTTTCGCAATTGCATAAATTAGAATAAAATGTTAACTCAAGGATATTTCTTCACCAAAAGAAAACTTACTTCTACATGCAAACCTGCCACATATTTTTCCAATTAAACAATGAATCAAAAGTTCTGAAAATGAAACTAACCAGACATACTAACTTAGAACAAGAACCTGCATTTTAAAAGTGGAGTCAGCTGAAATACATTTCCAAGTGTAAATACCATTTTTTTTGTAAAAGTTGAGATGCTTAATAATATATTCCTCATATTAATGGCAAGTGTTTTTAATATAGTTGCCTCTGATCTCTTGAGCACACCCAGTGTCAGTGACTGCCCTGAAACAGCATACCAAATGTGTGTTTGTGTTTGCCAGCATTCTTCCGGTGAAAGGGTCCAAAGCTTCTGTTAGATTTTCAGAGTCTCTAATTCCCACTGTCCTCTAACACTCCAAAAATATTTTTTAGTTTCTAGAAAATAATCTAAAAACAATTCTTTAATTGCTAACCTTAAGTAAATGAATATGTATATTTAAGTAATTTAAGATTATCCAATAATATAATTATGATTGTAAATAAATTAGAAATCAGACAGAAATATCTATTCCTACCTACACAACTCATCTATAAAATGTTTATCTTTATCCTTGGGAAGGAGCAGGTAATTTTGCCACCTAAATTATTATTTAAATAATTCTAAGGGGAAAATAAGAGACTGCCGAGAAAACATGCAATGATATTTCAAATCTTCTTTTAGGCCAGGCACAGTGACTCACACCGGCAATCCTAGCAGTTTGGGAGGCCAAGGCGGGCAGATCACAAAGTCAGGAGTTCCAGACCAGCCTGGCCAACATGGTGAAACCCCATCTCTACTAAAAATACAAAAATTAGCTGGGCGTGGTGGCACACGCCTGTAATTCCAGCTACTTGGGAGGCTGAGGCAGGAGAATTGCTTGAACCCAGGAGGCAGAGGTTGCAGTGAGCCAAGATCGTGCCACTGCACTCCAGCCTGGGTGACAGAGCAGGACTCCATCTCGAAGAAAAAAAAAATCTTCTTTTAAATTCAAAATTTAAGTATTAAAAATCCCTGTATAGTAAAATCCCCTGCCATACATGCCTTCAACTGTATCATATCCACAGGAACAAAAACTAGTGATTTAGCACATTTAAAATAAAGCATGCTAAAAGCTGCAATTAAAGTCAAATGCATAGCTTTCACAATTAAATTATTAAGGTATGTGCTCTAATTTAAAAATTTACAGTAAAATTCACTAAAGCTGATTTATTTCCGAAATTATGTTCATAATCATTACATTAAATCACTACAAAAATATGCTGTGCACTTATCTTCTGAAAGTCTGTTCAAAGTTTTAAATATGCTAAATGTGTTTCTAAAAGAAATTTGCAATTATTTGACAGTTAAGATACTGTAAGTTTTTTAGCCTTGTAAAAATAATCTGACCAAATATACTCAAATACTGTGAAAAAATGTTCATGCATATTTAAAATGAATTTTTTGAAGTCTCTCACCAGTAAAAATGATCTTTCAAATTTTTAATTTTTAAATTAACACCTCACTTCTAGTCATCTTTATTAATTTTTAGAAAATCGAAACAAAAAATTGTGCTTACAATGTAGAAAATGTAGGGAGATCACTTTTTATCTTCACATTTACTTTTTTTTTCCAAGTAAAACCTTTTATTAAATGACTGGAAAAACCATTTAATTTATATCATTGCCCGCCTGCTTTTTAACAGGAAACTCTTATCCACCCACATATAGTAGTAAAGCTTATAAACCTATCAGTGAAATTAAAAACCCAAAGAAATGAAAAAAACTTAGTAAAACAAGAAAAAGAAAATGGTTCCAACATAACCCGAATATGAAACTAAATCCCCAAAGACTTAGCTCCTTCTAGAGTTGTCTTTATAAGGTTAAAATTCCTGCAAGCCACACCCCTTCAGGTGACCAATAAGAGAATTACAGCCACCACATAAGGATGACCTAGTCAAGTTCTACTTTGCTGCATTACACATGCCCCACACTTGGAGTGTAACAAAAGACAACCATGTTTCATTTAAATTATGTGTGTGGTCTTTCCTAAAGAACAATTAAGCAAGTAGATTTACATACTTTTGCTCCAGTGATTAGTAGGTCACTATGTGCAAAATTTTCCAAAGGAATTTCACTTCAATAATTTCAAAGATCAATATAAAAATTTCCAAAAATTTTGAGTAATAAGGGTTGCCAACATTTTGTTTTGCCACGTGAGAGTATTAAAACCAAACATAAACAAAACTTCCAACTACTATCATTATAATTTCATGAAAGGACACTTGAATAAAGAGTAAAAGATATAACTAAGTTTAATTTTTTGGAAACTTGAAATTTTCAGCAAATTGTCTTTATTTCTATTTAGATCAATGAAAACTCTTGGCATGTATCAAGAATTCTGAGAATCTGCCTTTGAAACCTGTATTTTCAGTCATTTACTTATAAAGTTTTCCCAAAATGACTGATGGAGAAGGCTATAGAGAACAGAAAAATAAACATAAGGCAGAGAGAGACTAGGGTGTGCCCCAACTTGGAGCAAGGTATCTATTGTCACAATTGGTACCAATGATAGACATCAGTTCTGAAAAAGAGTTACCAATAAAATGTGATTTTAAGTAAAGGGGTACAAGGAAGATCAAGGAAAAAGGAGGCAGATAAAACTTCAAGGAAGTTTAGCAAAAACAAAACAAAAACAACAACAACAAAAAAACAAGATGACCCTCCTCTTATTGGGGATCACTTCCTTTAAGAGATCAGCAATCTGGATATGACCAATTCTTCTTCCCTTTCCTTTATAAACCCTTGCTGAATTTTCTTTGATTTGAGAGGTTACCCTTTCTGTGGCTTTCAACCACCCACTACCCTCCATACAGGGATGCAAGATACATTCTCTAAGAATGTAAAAAGTACTTAGATGGCTCCATACTTTCTTTGTCAGAAACAGTTGTAATTACTGGGTAGCTGCTAAGAACAGCATCCACTTCTCCAGATCTAAACTTGAGACAAATTACAGCTGACTGGACAAGTTCAGCTATTCTTCAGATTTAAGCCACACAATCTAATTCTTGTTTTAAGTCCCTCTAAAACAGAATTGTTCTAGGGCTATTGACATAACAGAAAGGCACATTTTCAGACAACTACACATATATTTTTAATTTTTATTTCATGTTTCAACAGACTCTACAGTTTGTCTAAAACTATCTCAGAAAATTAAATATAAGATAAACTGATCTACAGTTACACACTGCTTAATAATGGGGATACATTCTGAGAAATTCATTTGTCATTGCGTCAACAACACAGAGTGTACTTACACAACCCTAGACAGTATAACCTACTACACACTTAGGCTCTATCATACAGACACAATATTATGGGATCTTGTCATACATGCAGTCAGTCATTGACTGAAACATCATTATGTGGCACATGAATGTATTTTACTATTAAAGTTTAGCTTATATTCTAAAACCAAAGTGTGATTAGCATTTTGTGAAGCATACATCGCCAAAGATCAATTTAACTATAAATTTTCAATAGGTTCACCTTCCATTCCAAAGTTATTACAACTCTCAACCCCTCCCCACAACCACTGTCAAAGAATATACTGCTATGGAGAGTCGCACGAGAGCAATACAAAAGAACATTAAAATAAGCCTAAAAACTCACACCTGCTTACTTCACTTATTTAAACATTAGTCTTTCTTTTCAGTTATTCATGGATATGTACTGACCTATGAGGAAAAGCAGCTTACATCAGCTAAAGCACCATAAGTTGTTAATGATTTTTAAAGAAAAATTTAACAAAAATACTTTTTGAAATTGCTAACATTTTCAAGACAATGCAAGATACAACCAATAGATAAAACTTCTAAGTGATTTCTTTCAGGTTCAGTATGTGTTATTCAATGAAGAAGTAACAATCTAATTTATCAAATCATATCAGATATCTATTCCAATTACAGCCATTCCCCATTTGGCTTGATCTTGTAAAATGTTTATTTTCCTATTTATTATTAGCATAAAATATTATGCTAGCTCCTGGGGCAATTTGCTTTTTAGCAATGCAAACATTTCTTTTTTTTATATGCACAGGCAAAGTATGGTCATGATTCCTCTCTTTAAGAGATATATTTCCAGTAGAATTCCACTATTTATGCTTTCACCTGCGATATAGTTTAACTCAGGTATTCACACAGTAGAATTTTGTATATGCAGAAAAATACTTAATGATATTGTAATGATCTTAATGATACTGCACTACTTTAAAAAGCCTTATATTTGAGACATGGGAACAAATAAATAATTCCTTATATCTACAACATAACATGTTTAAAAAACATATTGAATAAGTACATATATTTAACAAAAAATATGTACTAGTATTTTATTTTAACATACAAAATTATCAGTAGCTTTATGTATATGTTTCTTTTAATGAGTTAAAAAGTTCATCGTTAATGATGAGTTTAAAGTGAATTAGGATTTTATGAATATTCACTATGATGGATCCTTACATTTTTATGCCAAAGTTCATAAACATTTTGCTAAAAAGAGATAAAAAGCCTTCCTTTTGTTCACATATTGAGGCTTACCTCAAACAGAATCTTTTATTTTAAATATTTAAGTGACATTTTTCTATTCCACTATAAGGCATGTTAACCACTATGGAAAACACTATAGCTACTTTGAGAACTTGTCTTTCTTATTTATATAGTTGATCCTTCAGGATTATCTTCTAATGATAGATAACACCTAGCTACAAATGCACATTATTTAAAACGGTTTTGCAATACAGCTATGCACTGCATAATGACATTTCAGTAAACAAGGAATGGCATATATGATGGTGGCCCGTAGGAACTAAAAAATTCCTACTGCCCAGTGGCATCTTGATAATCTTGACCCTGAGTAGGCCTAGGCTAATGTGTAAGTTTTATGTCTTTGTTTTTAACAAAAAAAAAAAGTTTTAAGTGAAAAAAGAAAGAACTTCTAAAATAGAAAAAAGCTTATAGAATAAAGATTACAAAGATAATACTTTTATACATCTGTTCAATGTGTTTGTGTTTTAAGCTAAGTGTTACTATAAAAGAATCAAAAAGTTTTCTAAAATTTAAGTTATTATAAAATAAAAAGTTACAGCAAAAAATATTATTGAAGACAAATTTAAGAAATAAATGTAGTATAGCCTAAGTGTACAGTGTTCATAAAGTCCACTGTAGTGTACAGTAATGTCCTAGGCCTGCACATTCACTCACCACTCACTCACTGACTCATCCAGAGCAACTTCCAGTCCTGCAAACTCCATTCAAACCAAGTGCCCTATACAGATATACCATTTTTAATCTTTTATATTGTATTTTTACTGCACCTTTTCTATGTTTACATACACGAATACTTAACATTATGTTACAACTGTCTATAACATTCAGTACAGTAACATGCTATATAAGTTTACAGCCTACAAGCAATAGCTGTACCACATAACCTAGGTGTGTAGAAGGCTCTACCATCTAGGTTTGTGCAGGTACTCTATGTTGTTTACAGAATGACAAAATAGCCCAATGACACATTTCTCAGAAAGGTATCCCCATTGTTAAGTGACATATGACGTAATTATCATCTTCAATAATGACACATTTTTAAAAAGCAGGACACAGACATGGTTACCAGCTTCCTCACACATCTCTTTTTTCGACCCCAACATGAAACCACCACAGCTTGAGAGATAAGCTCAACAGGGCAAAGCTACACACTTTGTAGTCACTTATACCACTCTAACAACCAAAAGAAGAAAACGCAGCTCCAGCTAATTCACTCCCTGGAATAGGAATAGAGAAGGTAACCAAGAATAAGTTCATCTAAATATTCCTTTTGTTAAAGCCTACATAATCTGTAAGTGAAAACGCTATCAAAATGGTTCATTCAAAAAAAGCTTCTACTATTAAAGCGAAACAATATAAATTTATGCTGCTGTGCATAGAGAACACTATCCACATTTTCTACTGAGTAGCCAGGAGAAATTTAATGAAAATGAAACAATATGATTATTGACTACAGAAATAATACCTTTTTTGGCGAAAAAAATACATACTTACTTAGTCAGCTGCCCTTTATTCTTGTTGTTATCAACTCCATTATAAGTCACAGCTGCCAGTTTTCTGCTTCTGTAGTTCTCATAGTGGACATTATTAGTAACATCTTTCAAGTCCTGCATGTGTGTTCTGTCATAAATAAACAGCAAGAGTTTGCTTCTATTAATAGCTAGGGGGAAAAAAGCTTAAAAAGCTTTAATATAAATTCAAAATTTTACCAAAACAAACATTTCAGATTTAAAATGAAAAAGACTATTGTTAAGGAAGGTGGCATTCATCTGTTTTCATTTACACTCAAAGTAGACCAACAAAAAATAAGCTAACTTGACACCAAATTTAGATTCCAATGAGATTTTAAGACCCATAAATCTCCCAAAGCAGTTACTGAAGGATGACCTTTCTATGAAAAGAGTATTCATCTTTGTATTACCTATTTAAAAACTAGACAAGATTAGCTACTACTGAAGCTTATAAAATCTAAAAGAAACTGCCTTTTAGCAATATTACTAAGGTAATATATGAGTTTTTATTAATACATAATAATAAATTTCAGATCACATATCAAGTTGCTTTCAAACAAGGAAATTTTAGAGTAGTTTTCTGTTTCTTCAAACTGTCTAGTGAATGTATTTTGGTTAAACAAATTTTTGCTTACAGCATTTCTATCATATATAAAATCAATACATGTAAGTCTACAATACATATGAGATGATGTAATCATTATTTAATAATTTAAGACACTGAAGATACCCTTAGCTGCTCTATGGATATCCTTTACCAATGCAGTGTTCTTGGATATACATGGTGTGGCAATACTCTATTGTCAGTCCTCCCTCTTCTCATCATCCATTTTATCTCAAACTACCTATATCTGCCATCACTCATTTTCACCACTTTACTAAAACTCCTTTCTGGGAGACAAACAAAAAAGTGTATTGTTGGCTGAGCACACTGGCTCATGCCTGTAATCCCAACACTTTGAGAGGCTGGGGCAGGTGGATTGCCTGAGCTCAGGGGTTCGAGACCAGCCTGGCCAACATGGTGGAACCCCATCTTTACTTAAAATACAAAAATCAGCCAGGTGTGGTGGCGGGCACCTGTAATCCCAGCTACTTGGGAGGCTGAGGCAGGAGAATAGCTTGAACCCAGGAGGTGGAGGTTGCAGTGAGCCAAGATCACGCATTGCACTCCATCCTGAGTACACGAGCGAGACACCGTCTTAAAAGAAGAAAAAAAAAGTATATCGTTGTACTGTTTTTATCATTCCTTACATCCAGAAAACCTTTACTGTTACTTCACAATCCAGCTTCTTGAATCTCCCCCTTTGTGAATAAAATGTGATATCCAATCACTCTGATTCATTTCGTACTGACATTTCCATGCAACTCTCTGATAGTTCACTCTCCTTAGTCCTAAGTCTGGTTTTTCCAAAAATCTCATCTCCCAGCCTCTGTCCCTTAATAAATTCACGTTCTCTTATAGCCACAACAGTTACTTCTAAAGCTCTACCACTCCACTTCAGGAAAGCCAGGCAGCTCCCTACTCCTCGCATATCTGGTGGTTGACACTGAACAGTTCATGCTAATTTGTCAATCTCTCGTCAAAGACTTCAACTACTTTGGAAACCTTTTTCCCAGCCTTGACATCAAAGCATTCCAACCATGACCATTTTCTCCTTGGTTGTCATTCATTTTTGGTACAAGTATATGTCATAGGTGACATCATACCTCTTCAACTGTAAGCTCCCCTTTACAAGGAACATGCCATTACCTTTTATGCCCCAATGCAGATAGCAGATAGGAATTTTAACAAAATTCGTAACTCAAGATTGAAGCTGAGATATGATAAACACTTTTTGGAATAAATTTTAGTTACCAGTTTCTCTAAGTTGAGAATAATAACAAACACCTATGCCAATATAAAACAATGTTTATGTAATTATTCTTTTCTTTTGATACAGGGTCTCGCTCTGTCGCCCAGGCTGGATGGAATGCAGTGGTACGATCTCGGCTCACTACAATCTCTGCCTTTCAGGATCAAACCATCCTCCCACCTCAGCCTCATGAGTAGCTGGGACTATAGGCATGCACCACCATGCCCAACTATTTTTTGTATTTTTAGTAGAGACGAGGTTTCACCATGTTGCCCAGGCCAGTCCTGAACTCCTGAGCTCAAGCAATTCTCTTACCTTGGCCTCCCAAAGTGCTGGGATTACAAGTGTGAACCACTGCACATGGCCTGATTTTAGTTATTATGTATCACATATCATCACTGCATCACTGAAAAATCATTAAAGGTCCTAAGGAAGAATACTTATATGAAATGTTTGTGTGAATGTGTAAAATAAAAGTAAGGTGAATTTACTAATTGTTAAGTTATTTTTGTTAGCGTCATCTAACATTTTAGATAATAATTTTCCCTTTCGCTAAAATCACTATAGTCTTCTATACGACTACATAATTCTGATTTTTTCAGGTTATAAAAGTCTTTATTTCCATTTAATTAAATATGCTTTTTCATTTTACGATTCGACCCACTCCTCCATTCTCAAAATAATTTGGTAATTTGCAATACAGTTTTCCCCAGTTTCAGGAATTTGTCTCTTCCATTTCCCATTGCTGATACCATAACTCTTTCTGTTCTCCTTTTGTTTTCTTTCCCCATTTGATTTCTGAAACACCCATCTCTACACCCTGAAAATATCTGTATAATTTTCTTCCTTTCCATCGTCTTCCTTGGTTTGCCTGGAGTAAGTCAGTTCTCTCAATTAGCAAGAGAACTTCTTTGAACTTGCCTCTTTCTTAGAAGCAATCACTATTCCTTTGACCTGCAAGATTTCAATTATTTGGGATTTATAGACATCTGCAATATTGGTATTGGTACTATATTTCCTTCCTTCAAGTAATTATTAAATATCCACTAGATGGCTTTGTCTTAAAGACATGAGCTAAATTAAATATATATCTTTTTAATAACTTTAGAATTTTTAGGCATAAAAGTCTTGCTGCTCTGCTCTATTAAATCTTCCTGCAGGCATGGTCAATTTGCTCTGTAATGCTTATACTAGGGAGGCCCCTTACTAGCTGCCAGGCTGTGAACCTTCGAATATTCAAAGTAGCCTCTGGGCCGCACAGGTGTGGTGGCTCACGTCTGTAATCCCAGCACTGTGGGAGGCCGAGGCAGGAGGCTCACTTGAGGTCAGGAATTTGAGACCAGCCTGGTCAACGTGGTGAAACCCTGTCTCTACCAAAAATACAAAAATTAGCCAGGTGTGGTGGCACATCCCTGTAATCCTAGCTACTCGGGAGGTTGAGGCAGGAGAATTGCTTGAACCTGGGTGGAGGTTGCAGTGAGCAAAGATCGTGCCACTGCATTCCTGCCTGGGCAACACACTGAGAGTCCATCTCAACAAAGTAGTCTCTGACTCAGTACCTAGCTTTCCTCTCTACAGTGTTTTAGCTTTGTAGGCAACTATTGATTGTATACTTTTAAAATACATAAGAAAAAGTTATAGAATGCCACCATGTCAAGCACTGGGCAAGTACCATAGAGGATTTAAAAACAAGAGGAATGCAATGGTAATTTGTATTTATTAAACATTCTCTACTTATATACTGTCAGAGCAGATTATATTATTAATACATATTCTTTTGAAGTCACACTATAAGAATGGAAGAGGAAGGGAATATTCATAATAGAGCCTGAAGTTTTGTATTCTCAAAACCCAGAGGATGACCTTCTCGTGCATTTGGTCTTCTTCACTAAGTGAGGCCTGGCAACCCCAACTGCTGAATCAACTCTATCATGTACTTCCTACCAAGAACACTGGCTCCTTTGAAAATAAAGATCAATTACATGCCAATTTATTCAATTTCAAAATTCACTCTCATCTCTACTGTATTTCTTGAGGTAGCAGTTTGACTCTCTTAAATCTTCCCCCTCACTTCTCACTTTGAGAATGACCTTCTTGTTATTCCATGATTTCCAACTATTATCCATATTTATGTTACTACCTTTCTTTACACAGCTAAAGAGATTCTTCTGTTTTGGGAAAGTAGGGGTATGAAAATGAATGGATATCAACTTAAGACAGACATCTAAAACCGAAGGTTAAAGAGAGGACGTGGTAAAGGCGTAGAGAAGCAAGAGACAGAAGTGGGAAATGCGGAGTGAGGTAGGGAGAGGAAGGAGTGTGTCTCAACATGAAAACACTGAGGATCATTTTGATGCCCTTTCTGTTCCTTACCTACTAACATCTCTAGTCCCATTACACTTTTTCTTCATGACTTCCTCTCTGCTGCTGCTTTTCTAATTCATTAGTAAGAGATCCTCTTTACCAGCCCTGGTCCTCTAATTAGGATGGCCTCAATGTCCTGCTCCCATAGGCTCTCCTTTTCTTTTTTCAGCAAGTGTGCAAGACACAATTTAGGGATTTCTTTTTCTCACCTGGTGGGAAGATGGGTTTTGTTCACTGTGTTCCAGTACATAAAACGTGGCCTACTCACCAGCTATCATGATGTGCACCTTTTAAACATTCAAATTCTAGCTTTTGACTCAAAATCTAGCCTTCCCTTATATAGTTTTCACAAGTTCTTCACATTAAGAAAAAAGAGCCTCTTCTATTTCACTTTCCATAGTTATTTCAGTAATAAACCTCAACACAAAGTATAATGATAAAGTAAAGAGACTAATTTTCCTATGTATCCCTAAACAAATTATTTCGTAACTTGCTCATGACTTCAAAACCTTGGAGAAAGGATCATCTACATGTAGTGCTTACTTCATTGCTAGACTGAATATAGAAATTTAAATTAGCTATATTTATAGAAGGCAAAAAGCAAATCTGTCCAATTCTTACTTATGGAAAGAAAATCTTAAGCTATTTCCATCATTGCTTGCACTTACCTTATCAACATATTTCTTAGGATTGTAAAATCACAATGTTCACCATTTTCAACTGTAAGAAAAAAATAGACCACATTTATTATATTTCCACTAAACCTAGTCTCTTCAAAAAATATTTCACAGGAACTTGGGGCATAAAACAAGGAGAGGAAATGCAAAACAGATCATTTTTTTGAGATTTAACACTAACACAGTACTAATGTAAGGGCATGACAGAGAAGTGTACTTTATTATTGTCTTATCGTAGTTTAATCCTCAGAAATAGATATGTAAATCTAACAAATGAGCTCTCCAGAAACAACTTTGAAATTTTGAAAGGGGAAATCATGTATTTTCTTATTATTGGTAAAAAATATATTTATTCTATAATACATTTAAAAAATTCAGTGGGGTGAGTGAAGGGAGAATCACTTTAGAAAAAATCTTAAGGTAAGCAAAATGAAAAAGGGAGCCAAGAACTTTAAGGTTCTTTACTTTTATTTTTAAAGAATGTATCACAAATAGGAATATTACTTGGGAGTAGACGGGTAAACTACAAGAGAGATGCAAATCAGTTTCTCCAGTGCGTATGTTTAAGGGATATGTAAGTTCTAAAGCCTCAGCTCAGCAATTGAAAGTTGCCTGGGCATGATGGAGCCAGCTGGGAACAAGGTACAGGGGTCACTAATAGGAAAATTGCCAATAAGGACAGTAACTTGAAACAATATCCTAAAAATTAAAGAACTGTTAAAAATAAACCAGGGGCACTGGTGTGTGCTTATGGTGACGTGATGTGGGAGGAGCATAACATGGGAGGATCACTTCGAGCTCAGGAGTTTGAGGCCAGTTGGGCAACATAGCAAGCCCTCGTCTCTTAAAAAAAAAAAAAACAAAGTTCAAAAATAAGAGCAACAAACAGATACAACAATCATGTCTCAAATTTTGGTTTCAGCTTACTGTAATACAGAAGATTAAATATCAGATTAAACCAATACAATAAACCTATTGCCAAGAGGAACAACTTCTGAGGTTTGGTGTTATAACTAAGATTTTATTGGTATTTAAAACTCCTTACTTAACAACCTCAATAATTTAAGATAGCAAGTTAAAAAACAAAACAAAAAACTCCTTACAAAACTAGTAAAGAGGATCTCTTATTAATGAAAATTTTTGTACTCTAAATATGCGGTATCAAAAAGGGCAACTTTTACACTGAGGAAAGACTGTGAAAGTTTTAACTGGGCTTACAAATTTCTTCAATCATTCTTGAGGGTCCATGACCATCTGACATTCTGATAAAAGTGACTGGCCTTCTCTCCAAAATGTTGGATTCCAGGAGGTTCATTAGATTCCCTGGGAGCAAACTTTGGGCCCCAGGTAAAGAACCCCTGAATTTTAGGTATGTTTTCAAGTAAGAAAACAGAAATAATCTTAATGATGAGACAGGAATGCCAGTCAGGGACAGCCAAGGAGGGGCAAGTTGAGTACCTCTTATTTTAAATGCTTGGGACCAGAAGTGTTTTGCATTTTTTTGGAATTTTGGAATATCTATGTCATACTTACTGGTCGAGCATCCTTAATCCAAAAATCCAAAATTCAGAATGCTCCAGTGAGTGCTTCCTTTGAGCCGCATGTCAGTGCTCAAAACGTTTTAGATTTCTTTCTTTCTTTCTTTCTTTTTTCCTTTGAGACGGAGTTTCACTCTTGTTGCCCAGGCTGGAGTGCAATGGCATGCTCTCAGTTTACTGCAACCTCCGTCTCCCGGGTTCAAGTGATTCTCCTGCCTCAGCCTCCCGAGTAGCTGGGATTACAGGCACACGCCACCATGTCCGGCTAATTTTTGTATTTTTAGTAGAGACGGGATATCTCTGTGTTGGTCAGGCTGGCCTCGAACTCCCGACCTTAGGTGATCCACCCGCCTCAGCATCCCAAAGTGCTGGGATTATAGGCGTGAGCCACCACACCTGGCCAACGTTTTAGATTTCCAAGCAATTCACATTTTGAATATTCTAGAATGTTCAACCTATACTATAACTTTAGGACTTAACACATACTTGCCTGACTTAGTAGGATACAGGTTTAAAAATATCAGCGTATTTAAGGGAAAATGAGACTGCAAAAACCTGAAATCAGCACTATCCTTGAAAATCTAGACTATATCAATACCGTATGCATATTATACTACTTACTATAAATACAAATTTTTAATCAGTTTTGAGATCTTACAGAAAGTCATTCACTGAAGAAAATCTTACCTTCAGCAACACCCCAAGGATACTGCCTTCCTCTGACCCTTTTGCCATTAACTTCAATGATAGTATTACTACCCACCACAGCAAGAGGTAAACGGTCCTATAAAACAAAGTATTCTTGTTCAAATACATCTCTGTAGTCCTCACAAATTCAAGAATAAAAAAAGTTACATTACTCAACTGATTAGCCAAAAAAAAAAAAAAAAAAATTACTTTTGATAGTTTCTGTATTAGTTTTTAAGGCCATTTAACAAATATTTGGTAAACTGCCATCACATGGTATTACCACCAAGGTAAACAATAAATAAAATTAAATTTTCTCTTTAATGTTAAGAATATTCAAGCATATACTTGGTCAAATTATTTACTAAAAATCACTACAGAAAGTTGTCTCATACTTGGGGGGGATAAAAGGTAAAAAATACATTGGCATTTGGGGAAAAAAAAGTGGGCTAATGACTAGCCTGCCTACTTGATCACAAACCAACTACAACAGTACCTAAAGCAGGTAATAGTCTATTTGCTAAGCTCTAACTTCTGAACTTCAAATCCTGGCGACTGGATTTGTATTCATCTATGTATAGCCCTTCACAATTTTGTGGCTCCCGGAAATATCTAAGCAGCTATTTTATACAACTGCAGAAATTCTTCACTGGCGATGTATAACAATTTCATTATTCCAAGATATTTGCCTACATAATGCCATTATTCAGTACACCATTTTTAGGGCCAAACTATGTAGAAAATCATGAGATAAAATACAGAAAATATGTTGTTACTTTTTGGTTGGTTTTTATTATTTTTAATTGAAACATAATTGTACATATTTGTGGGGTACAGTATGGTATTCTGATACCTGTATACAAATATGTAATGATCGAATCAGGGTAATTAGCATATTTGTCAACACAAACTTATTTTTCTGTATTGGGAACACTCATAATCCTCTCTTCTAGCTATCTGAAAATATAGACTAAATTACTGTTAACTACAGTCACCCTACAATGCTACAGAAAGCTAGAACTTATTCCTCCTATCTAGCTGTAATTTTGGTTGGCTTTTATACAGACAAAATAAATACATTTTTGTCTGGCAATTAAAACACAACAGAATGAATTCTCTCCTTTCTCATCACTTGTTTTTTAAGAGGGAAAAAAATTACATAATATGAAAGCCACTTAATTAAAAACAATTTGAAATAAGAATTGTGTTATTCGCCTCGGTAGTTTATACAATTCCTTATTAGATACACTAGCTAATCTTCAAAGTTAACTATAAAGTTGAATTCAACATTAAATCTCCCTAGGCATTTTGTAAGCCAACTACTTAAAACACTGATACTTTTGATCTTTCCTGCAGACACTGTAGTATGTTTTTAAGGCCTCAGATTACTTTAGTGTATGTACAGGGATGAACCTACCTTTATCTTTTTAACAAGTTTATTTTCTTCTTCATCATCTGTTTCTGGAAATTCATATATTTTAATTTTATGTTCTTGGATTTCTTTCATTATCTAAAATGGAAGAAGTAGTCAGCAAAAGAGCACCATACATAATTAGTATGTTAGTCTTATGTTTATTACATGCTTCTTAGATTCCTATAAGGGTCCTTGGTTCCAGATCCTTTACTGTTTTTAATGATGCAAAGTTGTAATCTAAAAGTACTATGCTAGTCTTTTTTTTTTTTTAACTGTAAAGTTGATATATAAATACCAAATCCAATTACTTCAGAAGTGTTCAAGTCATACAGCTATCATATCAAAAGAGTTCCAAAAAAGATGTAAAACTCCAGAAAGGGATTTCTCTGATTGATTTCCACAGTAATGACCTTAGGTCATTTATTTACAATGACTGAGATTCTTCCTTTAGCCACAAACTCCCAAATATCTTATTTAGTTGAATAAACAGGGCTAAACTCACCTAAAATTTTTAGTAGAATCTGGCAAAAGTAAGGTAAAACTAAGTACAGCACTGCTCCCTGCACATTCATCAGAAAAATTCTTGCATGTACATGTATATACACACAAACTGAGGAGCAACAGGTATAAGATTAGGGAAGGACACAAGGAGAAAACACACCTTAGAAATTAAGAAGCTCAAGAATTAATAAGGAAAATGAAGAAAACTAAAGAAGACAACTTATTAATAACATCAGTCAAATTAAATTATCATGTCCAAAATCATGCCAAATTCTAAACAGAATACAGACATCCAAATAATTTTCAACTACCTATCCTTATTTGAACCCATAACATACCAATGGCTAATATACTAAACCTATCTTCCCTACCTATACTTATATTTTAGTGCAATTTTCATGGCAAAGGTTCCCAGCAGTTATAAAAGGACCCTGAACAAACTATGTTACATGGTTACTATACTAGACAGAAGTAAAATTGTCACTGAAAGAAAATAAGACCACACATCTTTTACAATTAGGGTATGTACCTAAATTTAAAAAAAAAGAATAAACGAGGAATTGCAAATACATGATGAAGAGAAAAACGAATAATAGTAGCTAGCACTAAAAGCAGTGGTTTTAGTCAGAGGTTGTATATTAAAATGACCGCAGTACAACCACCAGAATGTGACCAATTTGAAAGAAGAGGTCACTTCATATTCATCTTTTTTATCAGTAAAAATCCAAATCGAAATACATAATAAACGAAGAGAAATGCATTATAATACTAGTATTTGAAATTTAGAAATAGCACATTACAAAATAAAAATGGGAATGGGTGAGTATAAAACAGAAAAATACTAGATACAGTAAAAACAATGTACTAAAACTTTCTGAAAATTAGTATGAATTTAGCACAACTTCAAAGTAAATTTTAACAGGCTTTTTATAACAGGTTTCAAGGTATTCTGAAATTCATATTGAAAAAGGTGAAAAACAAAATATTTTGTTACAATAGGACTATATGGACAATAGAGATAATTACAATCTATTTTTAAATATTATACAAAGTTGCTGTGGTTTAAACAATATACTACTGGCCAAAAATAAAGACTACTGCAATAGAGAAAGATTCCAGAATTGACCCTATATTTCATAAAATGTAATATATAATGAACAAGACACAAATTAGAAATATGTGTGACTGTGTAACTCAATATTATTGAGACAACTAGACATGAGTCTAGAAAAACAGTTTAGTGGTCTTCCAGCTAGCTTATACAGCATGAGACTCTTAATCTTAGGGTCATAGGTTTGAACAATAACTCAAACTATAAATATCCCATAAAGTGCACTGAAAACAAAATTAGGATATAAGCAGCAAAAGAGAAAACAGAAAAAATATTGTGAAAATGAGAGAGAACTAAATACTCAGAATAAAAAGAACCCATATCAATAAATACGGGTAATACCAAGTACTACTGGTCAAAAAGACAAAGGATTTGAACAGATGTTTACAAAAAGGGGGAAAAAACAGCTTTGTTTTTAAAATGTTCAGCCTTTCTGGAAAGTAAAAGGAAAAGACAAAGAAATGATTAGGTACCACTTCATTCCAAAAAAGTTTTCAAAATAAAAATAACAATGCTGGCAAAGTCACAGTGAACCAGATGTAGACTTTAGAAAACAAATTTGTTTTATTGGGAAAGCACCATGACAAAATGGGGAGTGGGGAGATAAAGTCCCATAAAAAACAATCATAGCCTTTGAAAGAATAATCCTCTTCCTGGGAATTCATTCTGAAAAAATAATTTGAGGGGAGGGGAGGAGAGGGGAGGGGAAGGAAGAGGAAAGAATAATTCTAAAGAGTATGGGGAGAAATTGTCTGTGTGGGGGTATTATTAAAGAACACTTAAAACAGTCATATTTAAAAACTGACAAAGGCAGAAGATTCAAGAGTTATTTTTAATACAGTATAAATGACTACAGTAAAGCAGTAAGAGGAATGGATTGCAATACATTATACTAAAAATAGTAAAAACTGCAAATTATGAGAATGGTATAAGAAACCTGGGTTAACCCATCCTGCTCACCTGTTTTTTAAACTGTTGGCATTCCTCTGGTGTGAGTGTGTCTGCTTTGGCAATAAGTGGGATGATATTCACTTTTTCATGCAAACGCTTCATAAACTCAATATCCAATGGTTTAAGTCTGAAAAGCACAATATTTGATATGACTGAATTGATCAGTTTGGGAGAACAAGATTCTTCACATCCCCAGTGCTAGTTAAATACAATGTAACTACTTTACTTACTTATCAGAAACACTCTGAAGATGTATTAGGCCAGCAAAAGTTAGGTAGAACAGGACTTCAAGAAGCATTGGAGTGGCTAAGGCCTGTCTCTTATACACATCTAGATGTGTATAAGAGACACAAAAGTTAGGTAGAACAGGACTTCAAGAAGCATTGGAGTGGCTAAGGCTTTGACTCCTGCCCTTGAACCCTGGTCACAGGGTTTTGGCCCTAAAGAGGAATTGGAAAAACCAGAAAGGCTCCTAATAGAATTTCCTAGAATTATCTCTATATTTATTACTCAAAATTTACAAGGTTTTAAAATTTTATTTTTTTATTTAATTTTTTAAGACGGGGTCTCACGCTGTTGCTCTGGGTGGAGTGCAGTGGTATAATCTCAGCTCACTGCAACCCACCTCCCAGGCTCAGGAGATCCTCCCACCTCAGCCTCCTGAGTAGCTGGGACTACAGGTGCACACCACCATGCCTGACTAATTTTTGTATTTTTTGTAGACACAAGGTCTCACCAGGTTGCCCAAGCTGGAGGATTTTTTAAAAATGAAAAATGGTAGCCCTCTTTCAACTCCACATTCAGTTCTTGCCATCAACTATCTTTCTCTGACAAGATGCTCACAAGATAATCTTCAACATCCCTTTTATTCATTACAATCTGGCTGCTACCTCCAGTTTGCCTCCATACTTTCAAGAAGATGACTAAATACTTCTATCATGGTGCTTACCATTACTTATTCTCTCACAAGCTCCTCTTCTTCCTTACAATACTTTTCAGGATCCTCTTAGTAAGCTAGTCCCTTAAGAGGTACATTCTTTAGAATTTCATACCAGGCTTTCTCTTTTTACTCTACATTCAGTACAATTATTATGACTACAATAGATTTCAATTATCTTCAATTGGTCAACTGACTTCCAAATCTTCATATACAGCTCATATCTCACTGTTAAGTTCCAGATTTGTGTTTACCCAGTGGATATGATACCTGGGTGTTCCATGGGCTCCTTAAAATCAAAAGCTCATCTGAACTCCCATTTTCCCTCTTCTATGCTTCCTCTCTCAGTGAATGGCACTACAATCTTCCCAATTACTCAAGTGTGAAACCTAGGATTCCTCCCCTCCTCTAATCCTATTCCCATATATATAGTATGTGTATAGACATGTGTATGTGTGTGCGTGTGTGTGTGTGTATGTATGTATGTATGTATGTATCTCCATTTCCATTACTTTAGGCCACCAAGACCTTTGGAATGAATAACTATACTACAAACCATCCATACTGAAGTCAGAGTGGTCTTTCTAAATCCAAATCTTATTATGACCTGATCAAAAATCTTATTAAAGGCCAGATGCCTTAACTAGAACGGCCTACAAAGCTTATGAAGACATAGACTCTCAAGCTAACCTCAACTCTTAGCATGCCTAGCCTTTCTTTTGCCTCCTACTTCCAATGCGCCAGCCTTTTTGAATTTCTTAAAATTCCTTGAAAGCACCATACTTTGACATCTGGCCGCAGGCTACTACCTTGGCTGGAACACCCTCCATTCTCATCCTTCTTATCCTTGGCCTCGCTAATTACTATTCATCCTTTAGGACACTGGCTTACAAACCAATTTCCACTGGGAATCCTTCTCTAACCTAAGACTAGGCATATTTCTATGTGGTCACAACACTTAATATGCTGTACAGTAACTGCCTGCCTACATACAGATGGTTCCTCACTACGGTTCCACTTAACAATTTTTCAACTTTCTGATAGTGTGCAAGCAATACACATAGAATAGAAACCATACAACCATTGTTTTTTTCACTGTCAGTACAGTATTCAATAAATTACATGAGATATTCAACACATTATTACAAAATAGGTTTTATGTTAGATTTTGCCCAAATGTAGGCTACTCTATAATGTTTAGTAGGCAAGGTGTATTAAACGTATCTTCAGCTTATGATGGGTTTATGTTACCCTGTCCCAAGTCGAGGAGCATCAGTATTTGTTTCTCCTGTCTTCTCACTGAAATACCCTCTACAGTAAGGGCCTTATCTCAATTCATCTGTATCCTCAGCACCCAGCAGGGTATCTAACACTCGAGAAGGTGCCCAAATATTTGTTGACAAAAAAAGTAAGCTGCTGTGATTTTCCTTATGTCCTTTAGTAATTCTAAATGCAAACCAAAGTCCTCAAATCTAGAATATACCGCGGACTAAAATTCAATGTTTCACAAGAATAAATGAAGATACTAGAAATATTTTGCAAAGGACTACCATTCTAAAGTACTACTTAACTTTTATAAAAACATGAGAAAAAATGAAATAAAGGTCTCACTCTGTTAATAATTTTATAAACTAATACTGACTAATAATTGAATTGACTGACATTTTAAAATGAAGAAAGAGAAACATATATATTAAAATTGGGGGGATTAGGGCCCTAAGACTAATAAGATAGTCCAGTCCTTTTACTAACAAAGATTACTGTATATACTTTCCTGTGGTGGTAAGGGCTGAGAGGCAGAAAAACAGAGACAGTGAGGGGGAGAAAGCAAACATGGAGAATTAAGATAGCTGCCTCCTATTCTAATTCTCCTTGTCTTAAATCCCCTGAAAATTGACACTGGCATTCAGAGAATAGGGAGCACAATGAAAAAAGTCTGTAGATGGAATAACACTGTTTATATGATCTGTAAACTGTGTTCTTGCCTCACTAGTGTTAACTAAAAGAACCTATCCATTTTTATTTATGTTTTTGACAGGGTCTTGCTCTGTCACCCAGGCTGGAGTGCAGTGGTGCAGTCATAGCTCACCAGAGCCTCACTTCCACTTTGACTCCTGAGTAGCTAGGACTAAAGGAGTGCACCCCCATGCCCAACTAATTTTTTGTTTGTTTGTTTGTTTGTTTTTTAGTTTCATTCTTATTGCCCAGTCTGGAGTACAGTGGCACAATCTTGGCTCACTGCAACCTCTGCGTCCCAGGTTCAAGCAATTCTCCTGCCTCAGCCTCCTAAGTAGCTGGGATTACAGGCATCCACCACCAAGCCCGGCTAATTTTTGCATTTTTAGTAGAGACGAGGTTTCACCATGTTGGCCAGGCTGGTCTTGAACTCCTGACCCCAGGTGATCCACCTGCCTCAGCCTCTCAAAGTGCTAGGATTACAGGCGTGAGTCACTGTGCCCAGCCCCAACTGATTTTTTAATTTTTTGTAGAGATGAGATCTCACCATGTTGCCTAGTCTGTGGCCTCAAGCAATCCTACTGCCTTGGTCCCCAAAGTGCTGGGATTACAGGCATAAGCCACTGCATCTGGCCTGAACCTATCCATTTTTTAAAAAAATTTAAGTTTTGCTTATTTTCATTAATCATTACATAAAACACTAAATATAAATGCCATGAAATATTCAATCTCAGATTTCTAAATTGTTATGGTTTTTCAATTTATACTCATGACAAATTTAAATTGCCACTACCTTATTAAGCTATTATGTCAGATACAAGCCTGCTTATTAATCCAGTGACAAAAAAGCAGAGTTCAGTTAATCTAAAATTGTAATAAATCTTAAGGGCATTTAATATAAAGTATTAAAATCCACATAAAAAGATTTTATATTTAAACACAAAACAATGCTTGCTGAATATTTATTATAATATCCCAACTTTCAGAGAGGAAGATATTTAAAAATAAACATGACGAGGAAATTAGGGAAGTCAACTTCTTAAATACAACCAAAGGGTCAAAGAACATTTAAGTCAGTTTAAAAATTAAACTTTAGGAAAAAAGGTAAACCTTGTACAAGTTCCATTAAATCTCAGAAGCCTACAAAATGTCAGCAACAGAAAACATGTAGTTCACATGTATATTACATTCTGGTTGAATTTTTTCCTCTGTCCATTTAGTTTTATATTGGCTGGTCTCTTCACCAACAAATTTAGTTTTCAAATCTTGTTTTTAAGCAATAGAAAATCCTTTATCATTTCTAGAATATAAGCCCATACTAAAGAGAAAAGACTATTTAACCTCAAAGTCTACAGCATAATAAACAAGTACAGGGCAAATGACAAATTTTTTTGTATGTATGTATGTATGTATTTATGTATGTATGTATGTGTAAGAGAAAAAATCCTTCTGTATAAAACTCACTGGATGACACCAATTTTTCTAAAAGTGGTAATCAAAGCTAGAAGGATAAAACACCATTTTAAAATTCATGTTCCAAGTCAGTTTTTTATTTTAATAACAATTACAAAATACTGAACAATGCACATGAGGCAATAATAGCTGAAATCACAAATTAGCCATGCATGCAGTTCATACTTGGTAGAGGGAGGTAGGAGGCACTGAAAGTACACTGTTGGACCAATTTATAATTACTGTAAAAACAAATCCCTCTAAAAAGGGAACCTAGGGACTACCCAGACAAGATGGAAAGGCTCTGATTCATTTATTAGACTGCATGGAATTTCAGTCTGTAGTGAGCAGGATATCTGGAACTCTATACATAAAATTCCGTGTGATATTCCTTCACTTAATCCACAATATCAAGTACCAATGGGCAAAACTTTGCTCCATTTCTAAAAATAAACTGAGAAATTGTTCAAAGGTATATTTTTATATATAGGAAATAGCAATTTTAAACATCTTACTCCTTGTGACAAGAAATGGCACAAAGCCACTACATATCACTTGAATATAAAAATGTATTCTTTTTAAAAAACTCTCATTTCCCAAGCAATTTTAAGAAATAAAATTTTCCCCAAGGGGATGGGAGGAATGTAATTTCATGAGAATTACTCAACTTGGACAGAGTCCAGAAGATCTAAAATAATAAAATTGGTTATAAGCTGACAAATTTTATTGACTTAACTGCAAATTAAGATTTCACTCTGCTGGCTTACACGAAAAGGCCCTGACAAGTTAAATGAGAATGATTTAAAAATACAAATTCAAGTAGCTACACAAATACTCATAAAAGGTTATACAGTGTATTGTACTTTTGAGATTACTTTTTTTGAGCCTAAGTCAAAGAGTCAGTTTAGTGATTTAAATATGTAAACTGAGAACACTGTAAAAGAATATTAGACATAAAAGAAGAAATGTTTTTACCCCACTGCAATCTGACAGTGCAAAAATATAAGTATGTAATTAAGGCTCCCTTATCCATTGAGAGTGATAATGGGCACTGACCTATCTTTAAAAAAATAAAAGAGAACAAGAAGCCAAAGATAGAAGAGAAAGGTATACTTGAAGGAATTGGTTTACACTACTGTAATGTGAGTGTTAGACAACTTAATGCTATTTAGCCTGATGCTACTACAGTTCTTTTGGTGGAGAGATGGTGGAGTTACAATCATCAGGTGGCCGAATTATATATGCTGAGTTACTTATCCAAAGGAAAAGACTGAGGAAGAATAACTGGAAAAATGTGCAGTTGTCAACGACACATGTATGTACTCAAAACGACAGGGGAATTACAAAGAACAAAAAAAGGGAGTACAGGCTAACTATAACAGAACAATCAGATCAGGTTAAAGTCTAGATTCTTAGGTCTTAAATCCTAATAAAAGCTTAGTAATAACAATATGATACCTAAACAACATGTCTATGACAGTTAAAGTGAAACAGAAGCCAAATAGATTTATTGTAGAAAGAAATGGCACAAGGAAACACTGGCATGCAAGTGTTTTTGATAACCATCTCTTATGAGACTTATAATAAATAGCATCTTTGGATTTATTCTGAATATATCTAACCGGTATGGCTGCTTCTCTTTATTGGTAGTTCAATGAGTAGCAGAGTGGTTAACATGAAAGCTAAATTTGCCACATTGAGACCTCAAACCATGATGGCAATACTTTATTTCCATGAAGAAGGGAAAATCCTTATGAAAGAAGAACTAAGGAGTAAAATCACTGTTAGCTTATATGGGATTTAAAAAGGCTTTCAACTAAGACATTTCTACATGAAATTTAGTACTTCATAATGGGTATAGTTGTACGTACTTCACAAACTTAAAGATTACTAAAATATACACATAAAGGTAACAGTAAGCAACAACAAAAAAAAGGAATTAGAAGTATCAAGGTACTGACCCATGTCCTGAAGGAGCAATGAAGTATAAACAACATTGCACCCTGTTATCAGGCATCTGACGTCTGTTCACTCGTGATTCTGCATTTAAGTAGTCCTCAAATTTACTATCAATGTAGTCGATAACAGGCTGCCAGCTATAGAATGCAAATAAACAAACAAGTTGCAATTCTACATATGAATTAACGGATGACTGTTAAAGGACAATAATCAGTATTTTCAAATGGGCAAAATGAATTTACCAGTAGAAGGTATGTCAAGTTATTCCATATAAAGATTAAAAAATATAAATTATGTTGAATAAATCTTTATTATTTTAAAACTTTCCAAGTGAAAGAAAATAAACTATTTATTGTCAAAACACAGCTAAATTATTAGCATATTTTTGCACTAATAAGTGTATTAATAACACACTTCATAATATGAAAACAATTATATTCAGTTTTAAATTTCAAATGAGAGATCATTTTAAATGATATAAAAACTTCATGATGAACTTATGAGTTTTAAGAGTTGACAGAAAATTACCTCAAAAACAATGTGAATTCAAACAAAAATAAAAGTATTATTTATAAAATACTAAGATAAGCACTTCAGACTAAAATTTCATAGTTGTTTTCTTCACTTAGGACTTACAGAAAAACTGAAGGTCTAAATATCAGGTTTAAATTAGGATTGAGATAGAATTTATACAAATGGATAAAATTAAAGCAAACAGTTTTAAATTTCTTACAATAATGAGAATTCTTCTATTTAGCTATGTTATTTTATAATATGTCTTAAAAACAATTTTATGATACGTATTATTTCCATTTTATAGAAAAGTAAATGGGTTCAAAGAAGTTAAACAACTTTGTCAGATAAGTGGCAAAGTTGGTACAACAAACCCAAGTCATGTCACTTGAAGTTTGGTGACCTTTGCTAAGATGAGAAGTTTTAAAATGTTAAGAAGAGAAAGTTTAACCACCCCAGTACCCCAAATGTACTGGAAAGTTGTGAGGACAAACCCTTCTTACCAATTACTATTATCCACTGCATCTCCAAATCCAGGGGTGTCAACTATTGTGAGCAGCAACTGAACACCACCTTCTTTGATTAAAACTTTAGATTGTTCCACCTATAAGAGTAATTGGTGAAGATGTTAATATCATACACTACACCAGTGATTTCCTACAAGGGGTGACGGTAGGGACGTTCAGGTTTATCAAAACCAACTGGGAAACCGTTAGCAAATTAAATCTACCTACTCCCACATTTTCTTTAGAATCAATGATTGTGGGCATTGGGAATCCAGATTATTTGAAAGAAAAGTGTATATACAAATAGTTTGCCAATCTCTTGGCAAATTCACACTGGGTTTACGACTCATACTTGGTATAAAGAAAGACAGAGGAACTGATAAAATACTGATCACCACTAAAGACATGTAATGCTTATATAAACTTAAATGTGCATCTAATAATACAAATAAGCAGTTTGAGTGATTTAGTAATTCACAGAGTTCAAACATAATTAATCAGAGAACATCATCTAATCTACCATTTACAGTAAATGTGTTCCTGGACTATTCTCTATCATGTTTGGCCCCAACCACTCACTCAAATGAACTTACTATCATTCCTTAATCTTTCTCAGCATGAATGTAGTTACCCTTGTATCTATGTTATGGCTAGGATCCAATCCTCTTCTCAAATGTGATACTCCACATTCTGGACAATGTAATCAGCAAAAGTCCAGACAGTTTAAAAAAAAAAAAAAAAAAGTGTATTCTGGTAGGGTGAAACCTTACTATTGGACTTAAATGATAACAACAGTTCCTGGAACAATTTAAGATATTCTGTAACCTCAAGCTCTGTATCAGAAGATGTATTATCATTCATCCTGGGCATATGCTGCTGTTAAATGCAAAGTATCAGTTTTCAGGAGCCCAAGATAAAGCAAACACGGATTCAATTGAAAAAGGAATAATTCCTCCAGAAAAAGATAGGCTTTCTCGTGATACACATTTATATCAAGTCCTTATTAAGGCTAGAGGCTCCAAGTATGCTGATAAGCTAATTTACAAGACAAAAAGTTTGGGACACTTTTAGAGATAGCCTATTTCCTTTTGGCATGTTTTATAGATGCTACCTGATGCATGAAGAGACTAACATGTGGAGACTAAGATTGCTGAGCAAGAAAAGTCTGCGGCCTCACAATCCAGTAACACTTTCTGAGATGATGGAATTGTGTATCCACACTGCATCTCCAAATTCTGGGGTATCAACTATTGTGAATAGCAACTGAACACCACCTTCCACTTGTCCATGTGGCTACTTAGTCCTTGAAATCTGACTAGTGCAAATGAGGAGCTGATATTTAATTTTATTTACTTTGAATTAACTTAAACAGCCACGTGTGGCTAGTGACTACCGAATACACAGCAGAGGTCTACAGCAATCAAGAGTTTTCTGTTATTATCAGGGATAAAACTTACTAAAACTGAAAAAAATTGCCTGAAATGTGGACATGCATGACTTATCTTTTAGAGAAATGAGATGCCAAAGTCTGATCTTTTAGATTAATGTTCTTTAAACTGCTTTGATCCTGATATAAACTATCAGTGAAAATTTTGCAGATCCAAAAGATATTTACCCACCAAATATATACTATTGGCAATCTGAATATTAAGTATTAATATGTATTATCATTTTTCTGTAGATTACAAAAGTAAACATCAATAAGAGTTGTAGTATTTTCTGATCATCCTCAGTATCAATGACTGATGCACATCATTTAGGAGATCACTGTTACATACCACATAACTAAGATAACATGTCTATTATCAGGTTACCCTAATAACATGAGGGAGGCAAACTAACTCAGAGAAAACAATCAGATTCATCAGTGTGAGATCATGGGAACCAAAGGAAAAAGATTTTTTTTTTTTAAGTCAGGGTCTCATTCTGTTGCTCAGGCTGGAGTGCATGGCAGATCATAGCTTACTGCAGCCTCACTCCTGGGTTCAAGCGATCTTCCCATTTCAGCCTCCCAAAGTGCTGTGCCAAAAAACATTTTTAATGGTATCATCTCATCTGGTTTAAGGGGTTTACATTTTACCTGGTGATCTTCTAGTCAAAGGATAACCCAGTCAAATCTAACATCTCAATATCTTGAATTCACCTCCATCTCCTTTATAAAGACAGATCATTTATTCATGATAACTGTGGCTGAAGCAGAAATATCCAAAGTAATCATACCAGTCCTTTACCTACTTACTCCTTTAAATAACATAGTACTATATACTAGAAAGTGATACAGCAATATAGTTAATCTACATGAATCATCTCCCAATTTTACTTCAAACTATTTCTGGTTCCTTTATTACCAAACAAAGCCCATTCTACCTTCAGTAATATGCTGTATACCAACTACACATTTTAACTTAACAGCTTAAATTTTAAGATATTTCCCTGTTTAAAAAAAAAATCAGTTCAACAACTTACTGACTTGCTAAGACAAATGAAGATTTGTATTTTACATACTTTAAGGAATGTTTATAAAGCTTCTTTTCTTCTCTGGCCTAAGAAATTCTGTGTATCCATACATGGTCAAATACAAAGAAGTCAGTGACATATGGAAAAGATCCAGAAAACATCACTGTAAACTAGTGCCATTCACAGGATCCAACTGTATCCTATCATCTGGTATTACAAGTATTCTCATGGGATCCATGGAAAACAAATTAGCTCAAGTCCAAGAATTTCAAACTTTTCTTAACAAATCTATTCCAAATGGCTACTTTCCCATGCATTTTCCGTAAGCAGGTCATATCAACACATTTTATGGCATCACTCAGGGTTCTCTAAGATTAGCTGCATAATTTAGTACCAAAAGAATGAATCGAGGGCATTTTCAACTGTTTTTCCCTGAAAAATAAATAAAACTAAAGCTATCGTCTACGTATCATCTATGTATAATTAATCTACTGAGACCTCTTTTGGCATTCGAGATTCCAGAAATCCAAGGTACTCATTTTCTAATACTGAGTGTATACAGCATACAAGAGTATTAGTATACTGAGTTTTCAGTTTTACAATCTGAGGAAAAAAAGTCAAACAATGTTTATTATACAGCTTCATATAAACTAATCTTTTCTAACTTAATGTTTACATGCCACTTATTAAGGTAAATAAAAAATGTTACTTAATTAAGAATATAACATTTTGAAGAAAGAGTTAAAATTTTCTGTCAAGAGCTTACCTCTACCTACACTTGCTCAAGAGGTAGCATTATAGCCAAAACTCCGAAGAGATTTGAATGGCCTGAGATACTCCACTTAGCTCAAACACAAAAACTATCTATTTCCCTTATTTATTGGCTCAAAAGACAAATATCATCTTAATCGTGTTCCACAAGAAAGTGAAAGAGGAAGTGACCAATAGTAGAACAGTTATCCCTAAAGAATACTTCCGTCTCATCAAGACCCAGAACTACTTTATTGAGAAGAAAGTTGATCCCAAAACTCTAATTTGGCCTTCTATTCTGAACCTCTTCATCTCTTATATCCCTGTCTCCTTACAGTGAGACCTCAAATCCCTTGACTCTCTCATTTTCTATTATCAACCTCCTTCCCAAAACCTTTCTTTCTTTCCCTTTCCAACTCAAATCCCATTCTGGATTAACCCATCTTTCTATTCCTACACCATAAAATTCATGACCTTCAACCTCAACAAGAATTTCCCTGCTAATATTCCTCTTATATGCTCCTTAGTCTTATGCCTCTCCCATTTCCCAGTAAAGCTCTTCCCAAGCCCACGTCTGTCACAATGCTCAGTGCAGTACCTCACATCTCCACTTAAAAATGAGACCATTCCCAGTCTGTATGAATCAGCAGTGTACCTTATGGTACACTGTGTGTGAAATGTATCTTTTTCCTAAAGCGATTTCTCAATCTATTATAGGGAACTGATTAATTTCCATTTCAGATTCATCTTGACAACTGTTTACACTATTTCGCCTCTATCTTCAATCTCTCATTTCTTAGAGAACGACTTGCCACAGGATATAAGCATTCTCAGGTCTCTTTTGGAAATCATCAAACCACTGAGTCCTCTATACTCACACTCCTAGGCACTCCTTTTCATCCCTTCCTTAATAGCCATCACCCATCCTCACTGACTCACTTACTACTCACTTCTCAACCCACTGCCATCTTGCTACCACTTCATTTAAATTTACCTTGCCAAGGTCACTGCTACAGCACCTTACAAAAGCATCTTTCTCACTAAGTCATAATTGTTTGTCCATATTTTTCCCATAATTGTGAGATCTTTGAGAACTTTTTGTCTTATCATCATTGTAGCCCCAAAACTTAGTATAAGACAAGCATTCAAATATGTTATGTGAATGGCTCAAAATCTATCAAAACTGGACCAAATGTCAACAGGAAAGTTTCCTGATTGGGCTCTGTGAAAATTTTCAAGGAGTCTATCAAGTATGTTATCCTAGAGATGTACGTACTGCTTTCACCTTTTCTCACTTTCAAAACTTTTGCAACCACTTCATCTAAAATAGTGATTTACAAAACTTCAGGGGCCAGCTGGGCGCGGTGGCTCACACGTGTAATCCCAGTGCTTTGGGAGGCTGAGGTGGAAGGATCAGTTGAGGTCCGGAGTTCGAGACCAGCCTGGCCAACATGGTGAAACCCCATCTCTACTAAAAATACAAAAATTAGCTGGGTGTAGCGCGCGCCTGTAAATCCAGATACCCAGGAGGCTGAGACAGGAAAACTGCTTGAGCTCAGAAGTGGAGGTTGCAGTAAGCTGAGATCACACCACAGCACTCCAGCCTGGGCGACAGAGCAAGACTCCATCTCAAAAGAAAAAAAAAAACAACACTACTTCATGGACCAATAAAAAGTTTCAAAGGGGAACAGCATAAAGTTTCCAACTAAGAACATCAAAAAATCTAAACAGTGTCATTGCACAAAAGAATTATCTTAATAGAACGCATTAAGAAAAAATTAAAATGGACTTTCATCTCAGAAAAAAGGATAATTTCTTCCCAAGAAAGGACAGATGATACCCTTTCACTGACATAAAGTATGATTTAAAAATTTTCAAATGCAGGCCAGGCATAGTGGCTCACGCCTGTAATCCCAGCACTTTGGAAAGCCGAGGCGGGCAGATCACTTGAGGTCAGGAGTTCGAGACCAGCCTGGTCAACATGGTAAAACCCCATCTCTACTAAAAATACAAAAATTAGCCAGGCATGGTGGCACACGCCTGTAATTCCAGGTACTCAGGAGGCTGAGACAGGAGAAACACTTGAACTTCAGAGGTGGAGGCTGTAGTGAACCAAGATTGCACCACTGCACTCCAGCTGGACGAAAGAGCAGGACTCCATCTCAAAAATAAATAAATATAAAAATTTTCAAATGCAACAAAATTATAAAATAAAGCTTAACTGTTAGTATACATACAACATTGTAAGCAATATATTTCCAAAAAATTTTGTTAATCTGGGTATCTATATGTGAGACTCAAACATGAAGTAGAGCTTATCACATGCTCAATTTTTTTATTTTACTTCATTTTCATTAATCTTTCAGAAAAATATATATGTAAGTAAAAAATGGAGGTAATATGGTACCATTCCATTCCATTTGAAACATTCTGAAAGAACTAAGGCAAAGCACTTCCCTCTCCTCCTTTCACCCTGACAGACACGGGATAAAACCAGTTGGCAGTAGAGCAGTGGTTCTCAAAATGCAGTACCTAGACTGGCAGTAATACATTCTGAGAACTAAACAGAAATACGAATTCTTTGGGCCCTGCCTCAAACCTACTATATAGCAAACCATGAAGAAAGGGACTCAGCAATCTGTGTTTGAACAAGCCTTCCACGTGACTGTGATGTGCGCTCAAGTTTGAGAAGCACTGGTATAAAGAATTCCAGGACTGGTGTCAGCTTGCATCTGGAAATGCACAGATATAACTCAGGGTTCTGACATCCAAGATAAGAGGTTAAGAATTAATCTTAATGAGCTTCTATTAATACTGAAAACTTCACTTGAATCAGAACCACTATTTTACACACAGGAGGCTAAAAATCAGCTCTCTGTTCAGTGTACACAGCTTCCCATTCCTTCCAAGACTGTGAATGTGAATAAATATCTCCTTTAAGATACAAGTCTCTTATAAACAGATAACGCCCAGGGATGAGAATATGAGATCGTGGTCTTTATTAAAATCTTGCTCCTTATTCAGCTACACAGCAGGAGAGTGTTTTTCTCCCCATTTTTATAAACATTTGCATTTTGAAAATCAGGACTGTATGTTTACCAGACTAATATGTCTGGACTGAGATACAATACTGGTGATCATTCCCCTCTACTGTGAGTGTTTACGAGCTTCCAACGGCAGATCATCTGCTAGACTACTGGGCTTGGTAAGGAGCCAGCCAACTATTAAAAAGATTACATTCTAATTTTCTAACTACATTCAGGCTTCTTGAATGACTCTGACCCTGTCTGTAATAATGGCATGTTCTTTCCTGAGTAATGGGCAAAAGAGTTTAGATGATCTTCAACTGGTTCCCAGTACACAAAGGAATACACCTCCATGGTTCAGTCAGGAAAGAGGACTTCTACAGGATTCTAGTAAGGATCAATCTGGTTCTCAAATGTTACAGGTCTTCTTTTCGGTAAAGAAAAGATATTTAACAGTGGTACACATGCCTCTGTCTTAAAAATCCTCCTAGAGATATTCTCACCTCCATTACCCCTTTGTTTTCAAGATAAAGAGAGTTTCTGGGAAGATATTCACAACAGAAGAGGGTATTTTTGAAGTGTTATTTTAAAGGAAGGTAAAATAAGTTTAGACAATTTATTCTGAAGCTAGGCCAATGTAAGAATTCGAATAAATTGAGGGCATGTCACATCTTTAACAGATGCTTGCCTGGCGAGAAAATGTCTGCAATATCTAAAATGTAGGGGATTATTAGATTTTTAAAACTCCTATAAATCAGTAAGAAAATGACAGAAAATAATAAGATTATCAAAACACTTTAATGAAATGTGAACAGTTAATGAGTACAAAAGACATGTTCAACCTCACTAGAAATCAAAGAAAATAAACTCAAATACCTTTATATCTTTATGCACACACAACAGCAATGAGCGCCTAAGTCTACCAAAACATACACAAGAATGTTCCTATTAGTAAAAAACTGAAAACCCAAAGGCTTATCTAAAATAAATAATAAAGGATATACTGATAAATTCACACAATGGAGTATCATACTATGATGAAAAAGAACTACACCCAACATGAGTAAATAATACAGACGTAATCTTCACTGAAAGAAAATAGATACAAAAAAGTGTATGTATATAACGTTCAAGAACAGGCAAATTTATCTACGGAGAAAGCAGTCAGTTAAGGTATTTGTCTTTGTGGGGTGTAATACTGAATGAGAGTGAGCACACGGAAGAAACTAGGGTTCTGGAAATGAACTGTATATTAATTTGGGTAGTGGTTAGTTTTACCTTGCATCTCTAAATTCATAAATACCTAAATTAAGGTATTCATAATAGATACCCAAATTAAGAAAGTTCAAAGTTCGTTTTCTTGCTTAGGATTAAAATTTCCAGTATTTATGACAAGCATGCAGGATCAAGTTTTTAGAGCATAATTTTGCAGGTAATTTTAAATCTCAAGTCCTATGAAGGTTACCAAAACAAAACAAAACAAAACAAAACACAACAAAATCCTAAAATAGAAACATCGAAAAGGAGAAGTAAGAAATTCACTTCACAAAATTATTCCTTTGGGATCTAGTTACTAAACTGCATCTTGCAGTCTGATATATATGAGTTACTGCCCAGAATATATAGACTGTCCTTCCATCCTGTGCACCGGGATCATCACTACCACTTCTTTGAATTCAGCTAAAAGCATCACTGCCTCAATGAAGCCGACTCCAGCCAGAAATGTTCACTTGCCTCCTCTCTGCTCATGTCCTATATATCACATAAGCAGAGCTCAACAACAATATTTTTAATCAACAGTTTAGAGCAGTACTGCCAAACAAAAACACCATGTCAATCACATAATTTATAATTTTCTTAGTAGCCACTTTTAAAATAGGAAAAAGGTTAAATAAAAAAAAAAAATACTATGTCAATCATATAATTTATAATTTTCCTAGTAGCCACTTTTAAAATATGAAAAAGGTTAAATAAAATTGATTATTTTATTTATACATCCAAAATATTATCACTGTAGTATACAATCAATATAAAAAATTATTGAGTTTTTTTTCCATGCTCAGTCTTAGCCATCTGTGGTATATTTTATATTTGCAGAACATCACAATTCAGACTACCCACATTTCAAAGATTAATAGCCACACATGGCTACAGGTTGCTGTAATATATAATAAAAAGTGCATATCTAGAATCCAGCCCCTTGCTCTATAAAGTGTGATCTACCATCCAGCAGCATCAGCATCACCTGTGATTTTGTTAGAAATGCAGAAATTGCAGCCCATCTCAGACCTACTAGAAGAACTAAATTTAACAGGATATCCAGGATTGGAATGCATAGCAAATACTGAGAAGCAGTAAATTAGATCACGTATACCTTGGGAGTCTTACAGAATTGCTATTGCCATTCAACTATGATATGGTACTATGCCACTGACTAATATAGAACACTGTATTTAAATAACAAAAGCTTTTCTATAAATCATGTTTTCTCTACACTATCCAATGCAATTTTCTGCAATGATGAAAATCTTCATATATGTGCTGCAAAAAAATGGCAGCCACTTGCCACATGAGCTGTTAAGCACCTGAAATGTATCTGGAGCAAATGAAAAATTGCATTTTTAATTTAACTAATTTTAATTGATTTAAACATGTGGCAAAAGACTACCATACTAGATAGCACAACTCCAGGGGAATTGGTTACTATGTCACAATGTCATCTCTAGGAGAGTCCTCGGGACAAATTTGGAAAGTTCTAGTCAAGATAATTCTTCTGATTAACTGTACTTTTTAAAAAATTTTACGAAGTCATATTTACTATCTTACACTGAATAAGGGCAAATTTGTATCTTACTTCTAAGGAAGCATAATAAAAGTTACGATATGTGCTTTGTATTAATATTATTCCAGCTTATCATCAATTAACAATACTAATATCCATACCTGTACAGTCTTTTTAATTCTATGAGAAGGACCTGGATACTCTGGAGAATACAGATCTGTGAGGAATAATGAGTTGATTAACGTCGACTTTCCCAATCCAGATTCACCTAAAAGAAATAAGGGAAAATACCTTAAACTCACCCACTTTACTCAACCTTAAATATTCAACAGATGCTATAATTGAACTTGCTTTATGCAAGTACTTCTTGGTGAAACAATGAAATGACATTAGAAAATATGCTACAAAGAATAAGTATCTTGTCCTCAGTTTCTTAGCTATCAAATTAGACTCATGCTTCCAGGGATTCTTTTCAGTCTTCTAATTATACCACTTATATTCATTAAAAGTAATGTATCTAATAATCTACATTTTTAACAGTAATGTATTCCCAAAGAAAAAAGTCATTATTAAAAAATCCAAGTTGAATTATACATTGCTGCTTGAGTGAAATAAAGTTTTTCTTTATTAATAAACAATAGTGAATGAATAAACAAGAAATCATGCAGCTATAAAAAGCAAAAATCTGCTAATACGAAGAATAATTAATCACAATGAACATCTCCACATAAAATTCTAAATCACAAAAAATACTTTCTAATTTAGCCACCCATCAGTCTAAATATAAAGGTACTACTTCTCCCAAACCAGAATCCAAAAAAATCTTAGGTAATTATTTTTTATACTGCTTCTACTCAAGGTAGGAGGTAGACATGAAGGAAGCTAGGGCATGATTTGTACTCTGATCACGTACTCTTTTTTGACTCTCCATCTCTAGTCTAATATACATAGTCTAGTGTATAGTAACTATTACAAGTATACCAAAATATAAATGGCTTCAAGGTATATATAACCTAAGGTTAAAATAAATTATAAACCATATTATGATAATTAACATGGCATAGAGTTAAAGTATGTATTGTTAATAATTCACTTAGAATAATAGGCATGTTTAGCCTAAGTAACTGATGTCACAATATATGTCTAGGAGGAATTCTTTTTATATCAGCTCTCAAAAGAGATAAGATCCTTTCCACATGGTCTGGGCTTACCCTTTGACTGAAAGCATGTCACTTTTTACTAGATGTAAAAATGCCAAAAATGTCTAAGTCACAGGAAAGTAACACGGGTTGGCCACACCCAATTCTTTCTTTACTCTTATACCTTGAAAGCAGAAAGACTAGAATAAAACCCAAGCATTTGGATGTTATCAGAAATATCTACAATATTTCCTTTTGGAAATATAAATGAAAATTTTAGTATATACAATAATGTTTTGGGAAATTAAAAAGTATGCTCATTAAAAGATTAACACTGTACTCAATAAATTATGTTTAGAGATTTTTTTAGTTTTTTTACCCTTTTTATTTGTGGTGAGGAGTCGGGGAACAAGACGACACAGGACAAAGGGAAAAGAGAGAGGAAGAAAAATAAGTCTGAAAGGTAACGCACCAAAATGTAAATAGTGGCTACTCTGGGGATAGTACAATGTAGATGATTTTTCTTATTTTGTTATACTTCGGGGTGCTGTAAACTTCCTTCAATATGATTCTATTATATTCATAATTTAAAAAGCATTACTGAGTGGCAGCAAAATGGCAAATTAAAAAGCTCAAAGCCTCATTTCCTTACAGAAACACTGAAAACAACCAAAACCTCGTAGAATTAACCTTACAGGACCTGTGAAAAACAGTCAAAAGTCTATAGCGACAAAGCAAATGCCCAATTAAGGAAAAAAAATATGCAAAACTTTTGTGACATTTTTCTGTGATCTTGTCCCACCCCTTCTGCAGTTTATCTGGGTCTCAAGAAGGCAGCAAACCAATTCCCAATTCATTCCCTTCAAATGGGTGGGAAGAGTGCAGACCTAACTTGTAACATTTTAACCTCTCTGGTCTGCCAGAAGAACTGATTCCTGTTTTGCCTAACTGGGACCTCATTTGGAGAGAGAAGCAATGCACACCACTCATGAAAGCTGCAAGAGGACACAATAGATATTTGGGGCATAAGATTACAGTGGGTAGATATAATAGACCATCTGAGCATGCAGGTGAGACTCTTCAGGAAATTAAGACATTCAAAAGCAGCCATGTATACAGGAGGAATTGAGAAAGCGACCCACAGGCCTAGGCAATACAAATGCTCAGAAAAGAAGATCTTAAGCTTTCATCTTGGGGTGATCACTAGGTTAAGGGCATGCTCAACTCATCAGCAGAGAAATGCCCCAGTAGTACATAGCCAGTGTGCAACTGAGAGAGGTGACTCTTTCAAATACTCAGTTTTCAAAAAACATCACAAGGCATGCAACAAGGTATAGGAAAATATGGCCCAAAGGAACAAAAATTTCCAGAAACTATTCCTGAAGAAATACAGATATTAGACTTATTAGACAGACTTGAAAGTAGCTGTCTTAACTATGCCCAAAGAGCTAAAGAAAAAAATGAACCAAAATGAATGGAAATCAGGAAAATAATAAGCAAAATGAGAATATCAATAAAGAGGAATTATAAAAACAAATTGTGGAGCTGAAAAATACAATAATTGAATTGAAAACGTCAGTATATAGGTTCAACAGCAGAACTGAGTAGGCAAAAGAAAAAACTCAGTAAACCTGAAGACAATTGAAATTATCAAATCTGAGCAGAAAGAAAAAAGATGAAAAGTAAACAGAGCCCAAGAGATTATGAAACAAAACAACTGGACCAATATATACCCAATGGATGTTTCAGAGGAAGAGAAATGAACACAGAGATTACATGAAGGAAAAAACTCCCCAAAGGTGATGAAACCGATGAATCTACAAATCCAAGGATCTCAACAAACTCCAAATAAGAAAAACTCACAACCGATATCAACACAATTACAATCAAACTGTCAAAAGCCAAGACAGAATCTTGAAAGTGGCAAAAGAGAAGCGACTCACTGCACAGTCAGAATCCTCAAATAAGACTATAAGCCAACCTTCTGGCAGAAACCTTGCGGGCCTGAAGGGAGTGCAACGATACATTTAAAGTGCTACAAGAAAATAACTGCCAAATGCAAATTCTGTATCTGGCAAAAGTGACCATTATAAATGAGGGAGAAATAAAGACATTCCCCAATAAACAAAACCTGAGGGAGGTTCATTATCACTACACATATATTACAAGAAATACTGAAGGCAGTCCTTCAGGTTGAAATAAAAAGACTCTAGACAGTAACTCAAAGCAATATAAAGATATAAAGATCCCGTGAAGGTAAATGCAAGGGCAAATATAAAAACCAGTATTATCAGATTTTTGGTTTGCAAGCTCACTTTATATTTTCTATGAGTTTTTAAAGGCAAATGCATTAAAAAATCATGAATCTGTGTTAATAGGTACATCAAGTATAATACTGTAACTTCCAACATCAATAACATGAGAGGGACAGAGCAATGGAAGTGTAGTTGTTCAATGTGATTTAAGTTAAACTGGTACAAAAAATTAGATTGTAAAAACTTTAGGATATTATATATTATCCCTATAATAACCAAAGAAAATTTCTATAAAATATACCAAAAAGAAAAAAAAGAGAAGGGAATCAAATTGTGTCACTACAAAAAATCAAGTAAACACAAATAAAGGCAGTAATGGAAGAAATAAAGGACAAAACAGCTAAAAGACATACAGAAAACAAAATGGCAAAAGTTAGTTCTTCCTTATTAGTATTTATAGGTAAATTGATTAAACTCCCCCAATTAAAGGCACAGAGTGTCATAATAAATAAAATGACATGACTCAACTGCGTTATCTATAAAAGACACATTGTAGATCTAAGAAAACACATAGGTTCAAAGTAAAAGGTTAGAAAAAGATAATTCATGCAAATAGTAACCAGAAAGGTAGAGAAGTCATACTAATATTAGACAAAATAGTCTCAAGTCAAAAACTATTATCAAAGACAAAGAAGGACTTTAAATGTTGATAAATGGGTCACTTTGCCAAGATGATGTAACAATTAAAAACATATATATACAGCAAACATCAGAACTTTAAATTACGTGAAGCAAACATTGGCAGAATTAAAGGGAGAAACAGACAGTTCTATAATAATAGTTGGAGACTTCAATACTCCAGTTTCAATAATGGACAGGACAACTAGACAGAAAATAAACAAGGAAATAGAGGATACAAACAAAACTGTAAAGCAATTGAAGCTAACACAGACAAAACACTGCATCCAACAACAGTGGTCTACAAATTTTTCTCAAGGGCATGTAAAACATTTTTCAGCAATGACTAAAAGAAACAAGTCTTAACAAATTTTAAAGAATTGAAATCAAGCAAAGTATTTTTTTCCCATCATAATAAAATGAAACTAAAAATCAGTAATGGAAGGAAACTAGGAAAACTAACAAATATTTGGAAATCAAACAACACATTCTTATCAATCAATGGATCAAAGAAGATTTCACGAGGGAAATTAAAATATACCCTGAGACAAAATAAAAATAAAAACCCAACATGCCAAAACTTATGGAATGCAGAAAAAGCAGTGCTAAGAAGGAAATTTATAGTTGTAAACATTTACATAAAAATGAAGATTTTAAACAACAACCTATGTTTACACCATAACGAATTAGAAAAAGAAGAGCAAACTAAACTCAAAGCCAGCAAAAACAAGAAAAAAATAAAAATGAGAGCAGAGATAAATAAAACAGATTTTAAGAATAGAAATTGGGCCGGGCGTGGTGGCTCACGCCTGTAATCCCAGCATTTTGGGAGGCCGAGGCGGGTGGATCACCTGAGGTCAAGAGTTCAAGACCAGCCTGACCAACATGGTGAAACCCCGTCTCTACTAAAAATACAAAACTGGGCCGGATTTAGTGGCGCATGCCTGTAGTCCCAGCTACTTGGGAAGCTGAGACAGAAGAATCGCTTGAACCCAGGAGGCAGAGGGTGCAGTGAGCCGAGATCGTGCCATGGCACTCCAGCCTGGGCAAGAAGAGCGAAACTCTGTTTCAAATAAATAAACAAACAAAAGAATAGAAATCGGCCAGGCGTGGTGGCTCATGCCTGTAATTCCAGTACTTTGGGAGGCTGAGGCGGGCAGATCACGAGGTCAGGAGACTGAGACCATCCTGGCCAA